TTTAAAAAAAAAAAAAAACAGCCACAGTCATTACTCAGCCTTAAAATTGAACTATATACATCTCTGCAATTTAAACAACCCCGAGTCACGCATAGTTGCCTGAAGAAAAACCACGTAGGTCTAATTACCAATTAGCAAACTACCTTTCAAAGTTATGTAATTGTGCTATAATGCAATTAGCTTTTTCTTTAAAACTAATTATTTTCCTTCGTGAAAGCAAATTAAAGTATAACAGATGCAACACTGTGCATGGCTTTTTGTGGCCTTATAATATGTTAGTTTCATAAGTTCTGCGCGTTCATCCCGAATTATCACACATGAACTAACTACAGCAGAACACCAGCTCAGCCTCTGAAAAGTGGGACTTCACTGATGACTACATTTTTATATCATCCTGACACAACAAACTCCGCAACTGCTGTTTCAGCCCACAGAGGAGCGAACGTGGAAGCAGACACCCGGGCTTCTTAATGCCACACTGCAGCAAGGACCAAGTAGAGCAAAGAGGAAAATGGACCATGTCAGACAGTTCAATATCCTCAGAGGCTCTCCTGAAATGTCACACACGAACCAAGAAATGTATTTCAAACCTCGCTGTCTTTTGATTCTTTTCCTTCATCGTCTGGTTACTTTTGTCAGCTTCTGCTCTTTTTTTCCTCACAGTTAATACCTCATGTTTCCCCTGTTTTCCGTTTGCTCTCTTCTCTCTCTTGCTTCCTATCTCTTTCTCTCTGTGTCAAAGTCACTGAGGTGTAAATTCACATTAGTGTGAGCATTCCTCCCAGACAGGAGCTACCAATGACTGGGTATATAGGTCACAGTAAACACAGCGAAAACCCAGCGCCAGAACATGTGTGTGTGTCTCTGTGTGTGGCAGCGAACAGCAGGAACGCTGCTGCATTCTGTCACATGTGTGTCGGCAGCCAGGGACCCGCCGCAACATAGAAGTGTACTCGAGCGCTGACGGAGTTGCGAGCACGTGAGCAGGTGTGTGAACATTTCTCATCTCGCAGTATCTCACATATACTGAGATGCTTATACAAAGGTTCACAGACCCAGCAGCACAGCTCTGGTTCAGAATATAGAAAAAAAATGGGGGAATTTAGGGGGGAAAAAAAATTGTTGTTGAGCCAATGTTGATACGCTCCAATTTTATTATTTCCCCAGAAACCAAACAGTTTTTATAGAGCTGAAATTATATGCGGAATAATTGATTATTTGATGACTAAAATGTTTTGATTACTGATTTGCTTCTCGTCGTTTTTAACACAAAAAGAGGACAAATGGCCCCTCTCATTCCAGCATTTTAGGTGTGAATATTTGTTAATTGCACTGTTTTCTATTATAGATAACTCAAAACATGGGACGTTTTGACTACTGGTCACAATAAACAGCCATTTGAATTTGTTTGCTTGAGCTTCAGGGAATAACGGTGGTCATAGTTCACTATTTATCTGAGCAGAAAAAGTAAAGACATGCAAATATTAGGATATTCAACAATTTCCCTGAGGTTTGCACCAAAGTGATCAATAAAGTTCTATTCTATTCTATTCTATTCTATTCTATTCTATTCTATTCTATTCTATTCTATTCTATTCTATCTAAATACATTCACAAATGAAAGGAAAAGAAAGAGACTCATCACAGCAGCAAATGAAAAGGCAACTTCGCAAACCTAACTAAATGAATACAAAGAAATGGTAGCTGAAGCCATCAGCTCAGCCATGTAGCAAAACTAAGGAGACAATACAGTCTGTCGCTGGTTTCATGAGCGGACGTTTAGACAGAGCACCCAACATGGCCAGCAGGGGGCATGGGTGAACTGGTCTGCAAACTGGAATTCTATTAATTTGCAGCAGAACCAGAACATATACACATGAGTGGCTGAGACTGAATGGTAAAGGCTGCATACAGAGCTAACCGAAAGAACCATTTTTTAATTTGTCCAGTAACAACTCTGTCTTCATCAGAGTCAAAATGACTCCTGACAGATACACCACTGGTGCAGATGTGAGTAAATGCTCATGTAATGCCACTCTAGCCAATCAATTGTTAAGAATATCCTAGCTGAAGTGTATTGATAATAAATAAGAAAACAAAATTCTGGCACAAGGTGTGAAAAGTTAGTGAACCTATGATAGTTTAGACTGTACTTCGTTATTTAAAGTAAACTACATGGGGTAGACTTTGATTGAATGAAGATTTCCAATAGTTACTTATTAAAAAGGAAAACGTGTAAATTGGAAACCTACTCCTGTATAATGTATCAGCATCATTTCTGGTAACTTTGTTCAAATTACAGAGATGGACAAATGGCCTGTGAAAAATTACAATCAAGTTATGTCTGGAAAAAGTCATTTTAACTATGTTTTATATATATTTAATACATATGCAGAAATATATAAAATCATAGTAACTAAAAAATACTGATGGTAGATGTACATTATTTATTTGGGGAGTCAAAACCATAGTAATAAACTGTGCTGGTTACACATGCATATCTGAGCAGACCGTATGGACCACGTAGAGCTTGTGACTCATGAAACAGATGGTCAGTATGTACAATTTCAAAAGAAGCTTTGATAAGGATGCTCCCTTCATGTATCCTTGGTGGGAGCCTTTCTACAGGCCACAACATTCAAATCACAAGATGTACCGAAAACAAAAATTTGCGACACAGCTCAAGACAGGAGGTGAGAATCTGGTGATGGTGATACTTTGCTGAGACCTACTTTTTCTCAAAACTTTTCTAACTATTTGGTGTTAGAGTAACGCAGGGAGCTCGGTCGTCAGATAAGGAGTAAAATACAGGCCGACAAAGGTCTGCAAAATGTTAACGGTGAAGTTATGGAGGAGGTAAATCATCCTTGATTCACTGAACTCATCTTTCTATGACTTCAAGTTGAATAGATCAAACGTTACCCAGGGCGCACATGAGCACACTCTTATGAAATTACTGAAAAATGTATTCAAATGAAACAGTTTTGACTAGTTTTTGGGACAACAAGATGGGGGAATATTCTATTTGGAGCTGTTTAAGTGCAAAGTAGATACAATAGAAGTGGACACAGGTTAAAAAAAAAAACTGCAAGTAGCAGAACTATTTACACAAAGCAGGAGTCTGACCTGTGAAGTAAAATTCACCGGTTAAGTATATTAGCAGGTTATTCTTCTGTCACAAACTGTTTTAAAACACTTTCCCTCAATTATCTCTGAAAATGTCACCACTGTGATCCCATTTTTAAGGTCAGCCCCCACTTAGCTGGAGTGTTTCAGAGTGAGTGCAAGTGTTTGTGTGTCCTGATGAAAGCCGAGTGTTCAGGTGGATGCGTATCTGTGGACGTCCAATTTAACACACTGTCGCAGCACGCGTCGCTGTCATCGATACCGCCATGCAAGAGTGACTTTGCGTAAAATAGGTGAGATAGAACGTATATATCGGCGCGCGGTGCTATGGAAACAGAATCTGCTCCGACCCCCCCGCTGTGTCATCCAAGGACCGGCGCATTAGTGTCAGTCTGACTCTGAACGATCGCAGCATGTTCACCCTGCGTCTGTGAGGTGGAATTAACCTCGCAGTCTATAAGAGGGGTTTTAGAGAGAATCAATAACCAGCTCGCAATTAAACAGAGGCCAACTAGCTGATAATGGGCAGAGTTGGACGAACTAAATTAGTACATATAAACTTCTACAATCAGACCTTTTGTATTTTATTTTATTTTAACTGAAAAATGTGTTAATGTTTTTCTTGGTTAGGGCTTTTGATAAGTTCTATTCAATTTTTTTTTTTTTATTTAACTTTATTTTTACTTTTGTATAACAGGCTAATACCCCAAAAACTGCAAAACTAGTTGCAATAATGATACGCTGCCTTAGTCATTCATTCAGCTGGTCAACTTGGACCTCAGGGCCTGATTATACTCCCTTGATGCAAACACAGACAGCTGTGGACACCACGGACACGCAGTTGTTCTGATTATACAACTTTCTCTTCCGCTTGGAGGAATCATCCCATACGTGTGCGGTCTATCGGTGTCTATATGATCCCAACATATGTGCTGTTGGTGCTGTTGGTGTCCTTGCATTGAAGTGGACAGTCCACAGAATTGGACGGCACGGGGATGTCCGCACTTCAAGCAAAACCTCTGATGACGAAATTTCCGTCACTCTGACCCAAGCAGACCCCAGTGTGGTCGCGGATGTGGAAAGTAGAATACTGGCCTCCGGACTGTACTACACTCCTGCCCTGAGTGAAGTGGGGTTTCACTGGGACCGGACCCTGTCTAACTGATAAACACGAGATCGGCTGAACAGTCAGAGGACCGTCAGAAATAACTGGCCCGGAAATAGTTAAGAAATGGGCATACAGTATTAATACTGCATGCGAGTGTGCTGGAGTGATAGAAGTTAGTCCTGCATGAATGAACCTTCCGAACTATTCTAAGACAGGCACACATGAAAAAGCGGTAAAGATTCCTGCTACATTTTTACACGGATGTTACCAGTCGACATGAGGATGACGGCAATCGTTAGCACAAATGTAAAGGTCAAATTTTCAAGTCAAGTCTTGAAATAATTTGTCCCAGAAGCTGAACAAAAGCAACGATCCCATAAAGGATAAATGCTTGCTCACGAGAAAACGCATTGGGATGCATGGGGACACCAGCCTGTACGTTTGGATTAAGTTTGGACTTGCCAGCAGACACACTGGGTGTCTGTCTGACTGGGACACTTACGTCATTAGAAAGTGCTTGCGCGCGCGTGTGTGTGTCTGTGTGTGTGTGTGTGTGTGTGTTGTCTATCCTGAGGCACTGACCTTAATCTGGAGCACAAGGGTGACACAGGCTCAGACCAGACAGTGACAGAAATGACCTCATGCATCAAAACATGAACGCGCGCAGACATTTCATACACACACACACACACACACACACACACACACACACACACACACACACACACACACACACACACATCTCTACATATTCAGTCGTGCCTACCTCTGGAGCGATGTAGTCCGGAGTGCCGCAGAAGGTTCGCGTGGTCACTCCTTCTGACATGTTTTCTTTACACATGCCAAAGTCAGCAATCTTAATGTGTCCCTCAGCGTCCAGCATCACGTTGTCCAACTTCAGATCCCTGAGGAAGCAGAGGGGCATTCAAAACATGCTTTCAGATGTTGACGTTCCTTCGAGGACTTGGTTTCAGTGGGTGCCCTTCACTGAAAATCAGTCTACCCAGTTATTAGACTACTTATTCCAAACAAGCTCCTGTTGCTGCTGCTGATGGATGGTTTTACAGAAGAGATAATAAATGCAACAATGGCATTAAAACAGACTTTTTTTTTTTTTTTTATACCCACACATTTGTTTTTTACTTTAAAAGAAGAATTTGAAGGATACTTCCTGATGTGTTTATGATGTTTACATTGCGTAAAGTCGTTTCTACTCACCTGTAAATGACTCCTTTAGTGTGCAGGAAGAAGAGACCAACAGCGATCTCTGCTGCATAGAACCTGCAACAGCAACCATACATTTACAGATTTACAACGAAAGGAAACTTGATGTTCAGCTGCAGAAGCTAACACGTTGTACACAAAGCAGAGAGCTCGTCACTGTTAATAGACATTGCTGTAATCATGTTGTGATACCAGGAGAAACATGAGGCTGCTTTCAAAACTAAAAGTATGTACTAAATGTTCTAAACTGTACATGGAGTTAGAAAATGATTCATTAAAGAGCAGAATTAAAGGACCAGTTGCTGATAAATTGATGAGCCTTACACTGCCTGGGGCTCTTTGAACTTTCCCACTTGTTGGATATGGTACATGAGGTCTCCCCCGTTCACGTACTCCATGACAAAGTACAGACGGTCCTGTGGTCGTACAGAGGGATAAAAGAAAAGAGGAGTTAGGATTAGGTGAGACAAACTGTGCATTTCCAATATTTCCACAGAACTTTAACATTTCCGGTCGAGGCTCTAAACAGAAAGAGTCAGTTCAGCGTTGAAGCCTAACCCTGCTGTCTGAGCTGCTCCATCTTTACTGCTACTCTTTCCATGACAAGGTGACCTAAAAAGCCCACAACAAAGCGCTTCATGGAAAAACACAGACATCTGTCAGGTAACATTGTCTTTGCCTTGCAGTGCTGGTCTCTTACTGCCCATGACACGTTTGGCCTGACCCCAGTCTAGATGTATTTGATGGTTCCTTTCTAGCAAAAACAAAAAAGCAGCTATCCAACACTGCAGTAGACGTATACTGACAACAAAGCTTAACCTCCTAAAATGTTTGACATCAGGTATGAGCTCTGACCCCCGCTGCACTGCAGAGACAACGCCTCCAGCAAAATAAACAGTACAGCTTCTCTACATCCCTGCACCTCTAACGCTAAACTTCTCTGTGCTGTCGCTCAGAGAATGAGTCACAAAAATGCTTCAGTTTGACTTCGGTCTAATGGATGTTGACAATTTGCTGTCGAAGCAAAACAAATCCACAATATTGTGTGTGCAACTTGTGTACTTCTGTTAATTGTGCTAAAAACGTCAGCCAGCGTACAAGACTGTGCAAGCTCTACTGTTGTACCTTTGCAAAGGAAAGTACAAACATGAACAGAAATAAAATGAAGGGAAAGCTCTTCTAAATGATTTCTGTAAACTATGAGCGTCCAATGTAAGTTTCTCTCCCTTGTTTCTTGTCATCTCTCTACGGAATGCGTAAAATGCCGCCCAAAACAATAATAATAATAATTATAGATGCACGATATATCAGCGACCACATCAGTATCAGCTGATGTTAGTGTTTTTTTCCCCCATATATCAGTATCAGTCTGATTAACAAATTTAGCTGATGTGAAAAACCGATGATTGTCTAACATTAGCAACTTCGTCTTTTCATTTGATATTGCTGCTATTTCACAGATGTTTTTACTTAAATGGTCCTGGACTTGAACGTTAAATATGTTAAAATATGTTTTACTTTTGTTACGTAATAAAGAAGATTATGTAGTCTAATTTGGTATTAGAGGCTTATTTTAAATAGTTTTCACGTTCTCACAGTGCTTACTGATACTCATTTTTCAGTGTGAACAAAACTTGAATATCGACATCGGTAATATCGGTTATCGACGATATCAGAAAACTTAATATTGGATATCGGTATCGGCCAGAAATTTTAATATTGTGCATCGCGAATAATAATGACAACAACAACCATCATCACCATCATCATCATCATTAGCTAGAGTGGGTGCATTTATTTCTGTTAATTGCCAAATAATTGCCTTGATAACTGTTGCTACCATTTGTCAAAGCGTGCAGTAATACAAGATTTTCACAACTGTTCATTTAATTTTTTATTTTTTTTTTAGAAACATCTTGATTTCTCAAGCATATTGAAAAACTGAATAAGACCATTTATTTCAACTGGTGCAAGCTTAGTCTTTGGTAAAGAGTGAGATTATTTTAAAATGGAAGTTTGGCCTTAAAGCCAGAGTGCAGAACTTGAACACATACATCTGTGACATTCAAGCTCTTACCAAAAAGTTCTATTCTAATCCAGTTCTAGTTCTATCTGCAGCAGGTAAATCTCGCTGTATTTCACAGTATACTGGTGAGTTTAACTTGCACTCGTTTTACTGCACTAGTGCACCAGTAGTATAGATCTTTACATTTAACTAGCACAGACTGGTTTGCAGAAGTTGAAGAAAGGTGCAACAGAGAAAGATTGAACTACAGCCAGTAGGTGTATTGTGAAAGCTGTGGCGGATAAAAGGAAGCAAGGGTCCAAGGAAAGTTTTTGATGCTCTAGATAAAAAGAAACTCGACTTTCAGAGGAAGAATCTTTAAAAGGAATCGATCGAAGGCAGGGCGTTCTTCATCAGCAGGCGATGACAGTGTTTGTGTAATTAATCTCACTGCAGGACAGGGGAAGGCAAAAGTCCTGTACTGTAGGAATAAATCTGGAGAGACAGCTAAATCCCATTAAATACGTGTCTGTGCCTCGTTTCCTTTTTATGATCATTTATATAGCAAAGGCAGCTGTTCCTTAACTGTAACTGTTCCTTACACAGAAAACACACCAGAACTATGTGACCTGACAGAACCAAGAGACCAGCTGGACTCTCTAATAACAGTTAGACACTAAAACAATATGCAAATCTCCTCCCTCAGTGTAGGACGGTTTACTGACGGTCTCACAAGTTCATAATAATTTGACAAATGAGCACAACTTCGATTTTCTAGATGTTCCACCATCGACATAACCGGAGAATGTCAGAGCACAAGTAATGCTCTGTTAATGACCCAGAAAATTAAAAAATACAAGAGAGTTGTTGTGAAACTGTGAGAGCAAGAATGTTCTTTTTGTATTTGTTTTTGTGTGTGAATTCATGAATATGCTATGAGTGGTGCCAGGCTTTGTCTCCTCCTAATTCCTCTGCCTGTTCACCGGGGCTCTGCTCAGCTGCTGATTTTAGCCTCGTTTCCCTGAGAAATCTGATTGCTCGTAGACATTTATCTGCAGTCTAGCTCTAGTCGCGTACTGAACAGATTTAACAACAAGTATTTTTAAAAGAAAACTATTGATTTGATTCAGTTTTGTATTTGTGGAGTGGAGTGTGAAATATTCATAGCCTGAGTAACTCAGCTGTCAAGCCTCTTCACAAACGTTTTGTTCCTCAAACTTGTTGTTTCTTTGCCAATTTATGTTTGTATTCAAAATCCATTATTAGTTCATTAATCATCCAAATAAATAATCATATTTAACCATCTTAAATTTGGTTTTCAACGAAGTAATCTGCAACTGCTACAGTCAAACTACCACTATTACTGATGGTACTGCGACAACAATAGTTGTTAAAGGGGCACTTAACCAATTGTACAAACGTAGTTCAGCTTAGTTTACTAGCACAAGGTCTCTGTGTGAAAACAGTTGTAGGTTTTCTGAAGCTCTGGAGCAGCTTTGTCAAGAAAAACAACCCCGATGATGTTGTCGTGGTTCTCTCAGCTGAGGTTTGGAGACCACACAGTTTACAGAAGGTTTAATGATGGATGCTATGATGTTACATTAGAGGAAAACTACAAGTCAAGGTTTTTGGATCTTGACCAATTCTAGGAAATCTCAGTTTTCAGTCATTGCAAATTTGATAGTGAACTGTCTCTCACAAGTCCCCCAAGTTGTACAATGTTAAATTGTGACTAAGTTGCTGAATTTGGCTGATACATATGTTATGGCAGGACAACAAAAAAAGTTTGGCTGCAAGATAAATGAATTCTTAATCTTTAGAAGATCTGGCTCAGGGTTGAGGATCTTTTTTTTTTTTTTTTTTTAAATGGATAGTGAATGAATAGTAGCGCATAACTTTTTTTTAACATTTAGCAGACATACCTGTGTTTGAGCGTGTCTGCAGCCTAGTACACATTAGGACATGTCTGGTTCTTTCAGTCAAAGGTATGTAAAGCTTTACAAAGCAAGAGCAGAGAGAGGGGAGCCTGTAAATGCCATCAAATTACTGTGTAAACCCAGACGTCTGTATTGACTCTCCTATTTATGCAAGCACAATGCACCAAAATGAATCGTGTGTTGGAGTGCATGTGTGCTCCAAAAGTGCCCATGTGTCTCATATATTCTGTGTTCTCAGGTTGTGTAGTCTGGTTTTGGTGCTACTCAAAGTTAAACCACACGTGTATGAATGTACAGACACGTGGTTTTGCACGTGCGCACACATGTAAATACTTTTAATTGGGGTTTGTTTGTTTCTTTTTGGTTTTTATTTATTCAGCTTGCCACACATGTCCTCTACTGCCCTCTACAACACTTTATGACTAAGCTGTTTAGCTAAAAGCCCCCTCCTGAATTAATTTGGCCCGACCTGGCCTGGACTGACTTGTCGTGACCTGATGTACGTGCAGGAGCTTTTTACTTACCACGGTCTGGAAGCACGAGTGTAGATGTGTGAGGAAGGGCGGCTTGTCCTGCTGGGCCAGAACTCTCTTCTCCACCATGGTACATTCAACGTCATCGTCCTGGATCACCACATCCTTCTTGAGGATCTTAATGGCGTACAGCTCTTCAGAGGTCCTCATCTCTGCTAGCATGACCTTCAGAAAAACAAAGGGAGAGCAGAACAGTAGGAAAAGATCATCTGTATGTGAAGCCCATTTTCTTGTACCCTTAGATATCATGCACAGTCCGTTATCATCGGGAGTTGTGCTTTATCTTTTGACCTGATCGCTGTTTCCTCACCTTGCCAAAGCTGCCTTTCCCCAGCACAGCCAGGAAGGAGAAGTCGCTGAGTTTGACCTGGTCCAGGCTGTTAGATGGCAGCTGGCTGGACTGGCTGTCGTCCGTCTCAGTGATCACCTTCTTCCCTGGGCCTAGTTTGGCTTTCTGCACTCAGGGCATAAAAGACAAAGTGTCTAAGAGATAAACATCGTAAAACACACACACACACACACACGACAGAAAGCTGCGCTGTGCAGTTCCAACAAGAAAACTAGTTTGTGAATTCCTAAAAGGTAGACTCATAAAATGCATAGAATGAGTTTATAAGATAATCAACCAATAGCAGACGTCGAGGAAGCTTCTTTGTGCTGGATTCCGCTTGTAGTGTTGACAAAACTTTCATGCATTTAACTTTCTTATTCATTTTTTTTTAACCATTATGGCAATTATCACACAGGTATATGTTTGATTTTAGTTTCTATAATGACATAAGACATCTTTAGGTGATCTTCCTCTACATGTGCTCACTCACTCACAGTGCTCATTTGTTCACTCACGGCCACAATACACTGACTGAGAAGCAGAATTCAAAATCAATGGGGTGAAATGAGAACTTTGGTGTCATTGTGGTACTGATGTGATACAAAAACGTCTCTACGCTGATACAGTTTAATAAAGTGTATCGTGCTGTTGAATAAACTGAAATGTCTTCCAATTAAATTATCCAAATTATCCAATAAACAGCTTAAACTATTCCCCTGAAGATATATCTTATAACATATTAATAAGTAAGGCTGATCCCAATAAATTAAAACCTCTGTGGTGGCTGTTGTGATTGGCTTAAAGCAGGAAAGCTGAAAAAGCAGCATTAAAATCATTTTTGCAATTTATGCTAAAGATTTAAGAAAAAACGAAATTCTGCAGAAACTGAAAATCTACATGAGACGTGTTTGAAAAGTCTTCCAGTAAAAACTCTATGAAAAGATTGTTTTATTGCATTTCACATGACTATTCATGTTTCAAAACATTCTACATTCAAACAGGTCATTTCTCAACTTTTCTAAACCATTATAATTCTATTATTTATTCCATAAGTTAATCTACATCTCCAATGTTTGAACATTGACCATTAATATATGTAAGTATAGCAGATGCTTTGATTTGTCAGCTAATATATTTAAACGCACCTGCAAGCTGTAGGATATGGACAGACACAGATGCCCAAAAGGATTAAAAAAAAACTTCATTTGAACTTTCCAGCACCCAAGTCACATGCCAAAAAAAAGACAGAACTATCCTGCAGGTCACAGGGCCATGTAAATCAGCTCTGCAGACTCGGAGGAGTGAGGAAGCAGAGCTCCCTTCAGAATTCCCTATCAGAGCTTCAGAGGATCTAACAGAAAGAAGCTTTTGGGGGAAGACAAAGAAAAACATTCAACCACGTGGACCTTAACAGATGGCCGGGTGCAACAAAGTGTCCTGGGCTTAACGTATTGCTCTGCTGATCCCTCATTTCCTGTGGTATGCAACAACTGAACTTATGAATGAACAGTGAAGACACAGCACCAGAAGATGTGCCTTATTATCTTGTGTTAAGTTTAATCGTTAAATGTTATTATATATCATGTCCTGATAAATACTCCAAAGCTTAATTACAGTTGGATAAGTCCTTCTTTAAATTATCAGCTTGTTATATAACCATATCCTAAGCATTGTGTTATTTCTGTAACCGTCAGATTATAATTGGCCTTCCGACCAATATTCCANAAAAAAAAACATGCTCTGAATATGATGAGAGTCAAGTTGTTTAAAACGCTACTGATTTCCTTAAAGGAAACAGTTTTACCATAACGCGGTGAACTAGGCTAATGCTAGACAGCATGCCATTGAGGACCTACTGTGACATGGCACATTGGTTGCTCGGTGTCACTGAGATTTGACCTCACAGTCTCTCTTGTGAAATTGTTCGCAATAAGGAATTAAAGCATGGAAATCATGTAGACACATCAGGTCAACGTAGCAAGGAGATCTGCAGCCTCGCGTCGGCTTGTGTCATGGGTATGGAAACAGAGAGGAGAAGAGACAGAAAGAGGGAGAAAGAGAAGAGAAATGGGAGAGGAAGCGAGAAAGAGAGTCGGAAGGCATGAAAAAACATGAAGGGAGGCCGCAGTTTGATCTTTTGTGCTACAGACACTGTAATGTCTTTACATCAGGGTCGCTCTGGTGATGACAATGTTGGTTGGTTCATTGCTGGATTGACTGCTAGTTTGATGGCCATTTCACCACTATGGTCCAGGCTGAAATATGTAATAACCATTGAATGGATGTCCATGTTGCAAAAACCATTTAAAGTTCATCCTAATCAATTCACAATGTGTTGGCACAACTGACACTGACAGAACCCCTGTTACTGTTCATCTGGAGTCATGACAAGGTCGACCTTTTTATTTTACAGTGAAATGTGTAAACAATAAGTTTGGTACAAACATTGTACAAACTTCCCCGACTTGTGATGTTCAGTACAATTCCACATCATACGTCATCCCAGGGCCTTTTGCATAGTAAGGTCAAGACCTTACAATTTGAGATTATGTCAGATTCAACTTTTCCCTTTCCCCACGTAAGAAACAGTAGCAAGAAAAAACTCTGGCAGAACCAGGCTCAGGGAGGGTGACTATCTGCCTCGACTGGTTGGGGTGAGGTAACAAAAAGAAACATACAAATAATGCACAAGAGAGCAATAACCAGTGGAGAGGTTGTTGGGGTGTTTAACCAGCATATTAACTTGCTTTCTGTCCGTGCTAATTACCAAATGCTAACATGCTAACATGCTAATCTATAGTGGTGAACATGATAGACATAACTGCTTAACATCAGTATTTTTATTCTAAATATGCCAACATTAGAATTTAGGGGCTCTTAGACTCTTGCCTTGTATCTCTAGTCTTCAATGTTTGCTATCAGAGGACAGGTCAAGACAGCAAGAAAGAAAGAGACGAATGTTCTCCAAATGAAAATTTTCTTTTGATTCCGAAAATTTTAAAAAAGTCAAGCTTTACTGTTTCTCTGTTGTCGTGTTGCTGTCACACTGTCACAATCCCTTTTTCTCTCAGCCCTCACATCTTACTGTGTAGGAAGTCCAAACCAAAAGAATGAGGCTAGAAGATTTGGATTCGGTCAGTGAGACTGATGCGAAAAGAAGGAGGAAAAGGAAGGAAAAACCAGAGGACAATTGGAGTTCAGCAAAAAGAGACTGTTTAGATCAGTTTCAGGCCATTCTGCAGAGCGCTGCACTAATGTGACGCCGCTGTGACTCGTTGCCCTTGCCACCCATCGCCTAGTCTGCAACAACACCAGCGGACAAATACAGTTTCAGGCACGGTGACCTTCGTACTCCCAACCACCTCGTTAAGTCTCCATCTTCAGTTTTTCCACTTATTTAGCATCTATGGGAATGTTTATTTGCTTTGCTTTCATTTGCACGAGCCCGATGCATAGAGTGCTCGCTCCTTCCGCTAGGTTGCCAGTGATGGAAATAGTCAAGCGTGACTTGTGCCTGACATTCTCGGCTCTCATCTCGTTTTATTTTATTTTTTTATTTTATCCTATGAAAGCCCCTGGCTAGTCGAGCTGATTCACTGAAGTACATATGTGTGATGCGTGTGCGCCAGTGAAAGAGGTTCGGAGAAAAACAGATTTTGTTCTTTCTGATTAGCGCTTAGAGTCGTTTGGTGCTTAGATTTTGAATTTGTCAGCATGTGTGTGTTCGTGTACCTGCTCTTGTGACTTGAACAGTCTGCGTTTTCTGTGTATATTTTGTGTGTGTGTGTGTGTGTGTGTGTTTGTGTGTGTGTGCATGGGCATCGCCGCAGACATCTCTCTCCCATTAGGCCTAATGCTACATGACAGTTCTGGATCAGACTGCTAGCTATTCAAGGCTACTCTCCTCACCACAGACACACACACACACACGTACGAGTGCACGCAAGTACCAACCTATGCTCCATGTTCTTCATACAAAAACACAATGTGGTTGAATCCTACAATGCACAACAGCGCCCTTATGACCAACACTGTTCCAGGGTGCAACGTGAACATTCGCCTTTCTGTTGCTACGTGGTCGCTCTGAGGAATGCGTGTGCTGTGGAGCGGCGCGCATCGGGCCATGCTTTGGTGGTCTGTTTTTGAAAGCCTTTCTCTGCGCTGTATGTGCCTGTGCTGTTGGTTGGTTTCATTCACTGATGATATTAATGAGCAGCCTTAAGGGTTTACGTGAGAATCCTGCTCTGCAAGTTAAACAGCACCTTTTTTTACGTTTGACTCCCCCCCAAAACCTTGAATCCTTTAATGCAACCTGATAGCATCTTTCACCACCTGAGGCTGTATAAGTACAACAACACTCAGGTGACTGTACCCGGATAATTTTAGGCTGTCTAGTTTGGACAAGACATGAATACATTTACACTTATTTGGGCTTGAAAGGTTAAGCAAAAAATATCTGCATCCAATGTTAGAGAGTTCATTGTTATGCAGTTCTTCCATTCTGAATTTAGGGAATTTTTCCTTGGTCAAGGTGAATGGATAATTTTCCAAACAGCTCCAAAACAGACAGACGAAGTAAGATAAATGCTTCTATGTAGGTCAAAATATTAATTATACAGTAACCATAGGTGCAAATTTAGTGCACAGGATGTATTATCACTGACAGTGTAAATTATTTCCTCTATGTTAATCATGAATCTGTTGCCAGCAGCTTATGAATACATTGTCAGTTTATGATACATTGTTGTGCCAAGAAAATGCAGTCTATTGTGTAACCTAATGGCACTAGAGGAAACAAAATATGCATATGCATGACCCTGAGGCAGAAAGGAGAGGAGAGGTTTCATCAACAATGCGTAAAAGGGCGGAAGAAAAAAGCATTTCTGGATTTTTTAATAATGTGGTAAACTAACATCTGAAGGATTTCTTGCTTCTGCACGATGCCTCATTCGTTCTGCATTTGCCTCGTTTCTTTCTCTCTTCTTCCACCTTCTTCTCACTTCTCACTTGCTTTTCCAGTCACAGAAAAAGTGATTTTGTGAGACTACTAATAGCTCTGATCTGAAATCACTGGTTTTGGGTGCCTCGGTAATTGGCCAAGAGTTTAAAATTGGAACTAAAAAGAATGTGGCCGGATGACAACTCCATGATGAGTCAGGGTTGCTATTCCTAGTTCGCCAACTTTTGAGGAATTTAAAAAAAAAAAAAAACAGCCACAGTCATTACTCAGCCTTAAAATTGAACTATATACATCTCTGCAATTTAAACAACCCCGAGTCACGCATAGTTGCCTGAAGAAAAACCACGTAGGTCTAATTACCAATTAGCAAACTACCTTTCAAAGTTATGTAATTGTGCTATAATGCAATTAGCTTTTTCTTTAAAACTAATTATTTTCCTTCGTGAAAGCAAATTAAAGTATAACAGATGCAACACTGTGCATGGCTTTTTGTGGCCTTATAATATGTTAGTTTCATAAGTTCTGCGCGTTCATCCCGAATTATCACACATGAACTAACTACAGCAGAACACCAGCTCAGCCTCTGAAAAGTGGGACTTCACTGATGACTACATTTTTATATCATCCTGACACAACAAACTCCGCAACTGCTGTTTCAGCCCACAGAGGAGCGAACGTGGAAGCAGACACCCGGGCTTCTTAATGCCACACTGCAGCAAGGACCAAGTAGAGCAAAGAGGAAAATGGACCATGTCAGACAGTTCAATATCCTCAGAGGCTCTCCTGAAATGTCACACACGAACCAAGAAATGTATTTCAAACCTCGCTGTCTTTTGATTCTTTTCCTTCATCGTCTGGTTACTTTTGTCAGCTTCTGCTCTTTTTTTCCTCACAGTTAATACCTCATGTTTCCCCTGTTTTCCGTTTGCTCTCTTCTCTCTCTTGCTTCCTATCTCTTTCTCTCTGTGTCAAAGTCACTGAGGTGTAAATTCACATTAGTGTGAGCATTCCTCCCAGACAGGAGCTACCAATGACTGGGTATATAGGTCACAGTAAACACAGCGAAAACCCAGCGCCAGAACATGTGTGTGTGTCTCTGTGTGTGGCAGCGAACAGCAGGAACGCTGCTGCATTCTGTCACATGTGTGTCGGCAGCCAGGGACCCGCCGCAACATAGAAGTGTACTCGAGCGCTGACGGAGTTGCGAGCACGTGAGCAGGTGTGTGAACATTTCTCATCTCGCAGTATCTCACATATACTGAGATGCTTATACAAAGGTTCACAGACCCAGCAGCACAGCTCTGGTTCAGAATATAGAAAAAAAATGGGGGAATTTAGGGGGGAAAAAAAATTGTTGTTGAGCCAATGTTGATACGCTCCAATTTTATTATTTCCCCAGAAACCAAACAGTTTTTATAGAGCTGAAATTATATGCGGAATAATTGATTATTTGATGACTAAAATGTTTTGATTACTGATTTGCTTCTCGTCGTTTTTAACACAAAAAGAGGACAAATGGCCCCTCTCATTCCAGCATTTTAGGTGTGAATATTTGTTAATTGCACTGTTTTCTATTATAGATAACTCAAAACATGGGACGTTTTGACTACTGGTCACAATAAACAGCCATTTGAATTTGTTTGCTTGAGCTTCAGGGAATAACGGTGGTCATAGTTCACTATTTATCTGAGCAGAAAAAGTAAAGACATGCAAATATTAGGATATTCAACAATTTCCCTGAGGTTTGCACCAAAGTGATCAATAAAGTTCTATTCTATTCTATTCTATTCTATTCTATTCTATTCTATTCTATTCTATTCTATTCTATTCTATCTAAATACATTCACAAATGAAAGGAAAAGAAAGAGACTCATCACAGCAGCAAATGAAAAGGCAACTTCGCAAACCTAACTAAATGAATACAAAGAAATGGTAGCTGAAGCCATCAGCTCAGCCATGTAGCAAAACTAAGGAGACAATACAGTCTGTCGCTGGTTTCATGAGCGGACGTTTAGACAGAGCACCCAACATGGCCAGCAGGGGGCATGGGTGAACTGGTCTGCAAACTGGAATTCTATTAATTTGCAGCAGAACCAGAACATATACACATGAGTGGCTGAGACTGAATGGTAAAGGCTGCATACAGAGCTAACCGAAAGAACCATTTTTTAATTTGTCCAGTAACAACTCTGTCTTCATCAGAGTCAAAATGACTCCTGACAGATACACCACTGGTGCAGATGTGAGTAAATGCTCATGTAATGCCACTCTAGCCAATCAATTGTTAAGAATATCCTAGCTGAAGTGTATTGATAATAAATAAGAAAACAAAATTCTGGCACAAGGTGTGAAAAGTTAGTGAACCTATGATAGTTTAGACTGTACTTCGTTATTTAAAGTAAACTACATGGGGTAGACTTTGATTGAATGAAGATTTCCAATAGTTACTTATTAAAAAGGAAAACGTGTAAATTGGAAACCTACTCCTGTATAATGTATCAGCATCATTTCTGGTAACTTTGTTCAAATTACAGAGATGGACAAATGGCCTGTGAAAAATTACAATCAAGTTATGTCTGGAAAAAGTCATTTTAACTATGTTTTATATATATTTAATACATATGCAGAAATATATAAAATCATATTTATTTGGCGAGTCAAAACCATAGTAATAAACTGTGCTGGTTACACATGCATATCTGAGCAGACCGTATGGACCACTTAGAGCTTGTGACTCATGAAACAGATGGTCAGTATGTACAATTTCAAAAGAAGCTTTGATAAGGATGCTCCCTTCATGTATCCTTGGTGGGAGCCTTTCTACAGGCCACAACATTCAAATCACAAGATGTACCGAAAACAAAAATTTGCGACACAGCTCAAGACAGGAGGTGAGAATCTGGTGATGGTGATACTTTGCTGAGACCTACTTTTTCTCAAAACTTTTCTAACTATTTGGTGTTAGAGTAACGCAGGGAGCTCGGTCGTCAGATAAGGAGTAAAATACAGGCCGACAAAGGTCTGCAAAATGTTAACGGTGAAGTTATGGAGGAGGTAAATCATCCTTGATTCACTGAACTCATCTTTCTATGACTTCAAGTTGAATAGATCAAACGTTACCCAGGGCGCACATGAGCACACTCTTATGAAATTACTGAAAAATGTATTCAAATGAAACAGTTTTGACTAGTTTTTGGGACAACAAGATGGGGGAATATTCTATTTGGAGCTGTTTAAGTGCAAAGTAGATACAATAGAAGTGGACACAGGTTAAAAAAAAAAACTGCAAGTAGCAGAACTATTTACACAAAGCAGGAGTCTGACCTGTGAAGTAAAATTCACCGGTTAAGTATATTAGCAGGTTATTCTTCTGTCACAAACTGTTTTAAAACACTTTCCCTCAATTATCTCTGAAAATGTCACCACTGTGATCCCATTTTTAAGGTCAGCCCCCACTTAGCTGGAGTGTTTCAGAGTGAGTGCAAGTGTTTGTGTGTCCTGATGAAAGCCGAGTGTTCAGGTGGATGCGTATCTGTGGACGTCCAATTTAACACACTGTCGCAGCACGCGTCGCTGTCATCGATACCGCCATGCAAGAGTGACTTTGCGTAAAATAGGTGAGATAGAACGTATATATCGGCGCGCGGTGCTATGGAAACAGAATCTGCTCCGACCCCCCCGCTGTGTCATCCAAGGACCGGCGCATTAGTGTCAGTCTGACTCTGAACGATCGCAGCATGTTCACCCTGCGTCTGTGAGGTGGAATTAACCTCGCAGTCTATAAGAGGGGTTTTAGAGAGAATCAATAACCAGCTCGCAATTAAACAGAGGCCAACTAGCTGATAATGGGCAGAGTTGGACGAACTAAATTAGTACATATAAACTTCTACAATCAGACCTTTTGTATTTTATTTTATTTTAACTGAAAAATGTGTTAATGTTTTTCTTGGTTAGGGCTTTTGATAAGTTCTATTCAATTTTTTTTTTTTTATTTAACTTTATTTTTACTTTTGTATAACAGGCTAATACCCCAAAAACTGCAAAACTAGTTGCAATAATGATACGCTGCCTTAGTCATTCATTCAGCTGGTCAACTTGGACCTCAGGGCCTGATTATACTCCCTTGATGCAAACACAGACAGCTGTGGACACCACGGACACGCAGTTGTTCTGATTATACAACTTTCTCTTCCGCTTGGAGGAATCATCCCATACGTGTGCGGTCTATCGGTGTCTATATGATCCCAACATATGTGCTGTTGGTGCTGTTGGTGTCCTTGCATTGAAGTGGACAGTCCACAGAATTGGACGGCACGGGGATGTCCGCACTTCAAGCAAAACCTCTGATGACGAAATTTCCGTCACTCTGACCCAAGCAGACCCCAGTGTGGTCGCGGATGTGGAAAGTAGAATACTGGCCTCCGGACTGTACTACACTCCTGCCCTGAGTGAAGTGGGGTTTCACTGGGACCGGACCCTGTCTAACTGATAAACACGAGATCGGCTGAACAGTCAGAGGACCGTCAGAAATAACTGGCCCGGAAATAGTTAAGAAATGGGCATACAGTATTAATACTGCATGCGAGTGTGCTGGAGTGATAGAAGTTAGTCCTGCATGAATGAACCTTCCGAACTATTCTAAGACAGGCACACATGAAAAAGCGGTAAAGATTCCTGCTACATTTTTACACGGATGTTACCAGTCGACATGAGGATGACGGCAATCGTTAGCACAAATGTAAAGGTCAAATTTTCAAGTCAAGTCTTGAAATAATTTGTCCCAGAAGCTGAACAAAAGCAACGATCCCATAAAGGATAAATGCTTGCTCACGAGAAAACGCATTGGGATGCATGGGGACACCAGCCTGTACGTTTGGATTAAGTTTGGACTTGCCAGCAGACACACTGGGTGTCTGTCTGACTGGGACACTTACGTCATTAGAAAGTGCTTGCGCGCGCGTGTGTGTGTCTGTGTGTGTGTGTGTGTGTGTGTTGTCTATCCTGAGGCACTGACCTTAATCTGGAGCACAAGGGTGACACAGGCTCAGACCAGACAGTGACAGAAATGACCTCATGCATCAAAACATGAACGCGCGCAGACATTTCATACACACACACACACACACACACACACACACACACACACACACACACACACACACACACACACACATCTCTACATATTCAGTCGTGCCTACCTCTGGAGCGATGTAGTCCGGAGTGCCGCAGAAGGTTCGCGTGGTCACTCCTTCTGACATGTTTTCTTTACACATGCCAAAGTCAGCAATCTTAATGTGTCCCTCAGCGTCCAGCATCACGTTGTCCAACTTCAGATCCCTGAGGAAGCAGAGGGGCATTCAAAACATGCTTTCAGATGTTGACGTTCCTTCGAGGACTTGGTTTCAGTGGGTGCCCTTCACTGAAAATCAGTCTACCCAGTTATTAGACTACTTATTCCAAACAAGCTCCTGTTGCTGCTGCTGATGGATGGTTTTACAGAAGAGATAATAAATGCAACAATGGCATTAAAACAGACTTTTTTTTTTTTTTTTATACCCACACATTTGTTTTTTACTTTAAAAGAAGAATTTGAAGGATACTTCCTGATGTGTTTATGATGTTTACATTGCGTAAAGTCGTTTCTACTCACCTGTAAATGACTCCTTTAGTGTGCAGGAAGAAGAGACCAACAGCGATCTCTGCTGCATAGAACCTGCAACAGCAACCATACATTTACAGATTTACAACGAAAGGAAACTTGATGTTCAGCTGCAGAAGCTAACACGTTGTACACAAAGCAGAGAGCTCGTCACTGTTAATAGACATTGCTGTAATCATGTTGTGATACCAGGAGAAACATGAGGCTGCTTTCAAAACTAAAAGTATGTACTAAATGTTCTAAACTGTACATGGAGTTAGAAAATGATTCATTAAAGAGCAGAATTAAAGGACCAGTTGCTGATAAATTGATGAGCCTTACACTGCCTGGGGCTCTTTGAACTTTCCCACTTGTTGGATATGGTACATGAGGTCTCCCCCGTTCACGTACTCCATGACAAAGTACAGACGGTCCTGTGGTCGTACAGAGGGATAAAAGAAAAGAGGAGTTAGGATTAGGTGAGACAAACTGTGCATTTCCAATATTTCCACAGAACTTTAACATTTCCGGTCGAGGCTCTAAACAGAAAGAGTCAGTTCAGCGTTGAAGCCTAACCCTGCTGTCTGAGCTGCTCCATCTTTACTGCTACTCTTTCCATGACAAGGTGACCTAAAAAGCCCACAACAAAGCGCTTCATGGAAAAACACAGACATCTGTCAGGTAACATTGTCTTTGCCTTGCAGTGCTGGTCTCTTACTGCCCATGACACGTTTGGCCTGACCCCAGTCTAGATGTATTTGATGGTTCCTTTCTAGCAAAAACAAAAAAGCAGCTATCCAACACTGCAGTAGACGTATACTGACAACAAAGCTTAACCTCCTAAAATGTTTGACATCAGGTATGAGCTCTGACCCCCGCTGCACTGCAGAGACAACGCCTCCAGCAAAATAAACAGTACAGCTTCTCTACATCCCTGCACCTCTAACGCTAAACTTCTCTGTGCTGTCGCTCAGAGAATGAGTCACAAAAATGCTTCAGTTTGACTTCGGTCTAATGGATGTTGACAATTTGCTGTCGAAGCAAAACAAATCCACAATATTGTGTGTGCAACTTGTGTACTTCTGTTAATTGTGCTAAAAACGTCAGCCAGCGTACAAGACTGTGCAAGCTCTACTGTTGTACCTTTGCAAAGGAAAGTACAAACATGAACAGAAATAAAATGAAGGGAAAGCTCTTCTAAATGATTTCTGTAAACTATGAGCGTCCAATGTAAGTTTCTCTCCCTTGTTTCTTGTCATCTCTCTACGGAATGCGTAAAATGCCGCCCAAAACAATAATAATAATAATTATAGATGCACGATATATCAGCGACCACATCAGTATCAGCTGATGTTAGTGTTTTTTTCCCCCATATATCAGTATCAGTCTGATTAACAAATTTAGCTGATGTGAAAAACCGATGATTGTCTAACATTAGCAACTTCGTCTTTTCATTTGATATTGCTGCTATTTCACAGATGTTTTTACTTAAATGGTCCTGGACTTGAACGTTAAATATGTTAAAATATGTTTTACTTTTGTTACGTAATAAAGAAGATTATGTAGTCTAATTTGGTATTAGAGGCTTATTTTAAATAGTTTTCACGTTCTCACAGTGCTTACTGATACTCATTTTTCAGTGTGAACAAAACTTGAATATCGACATCGGTAATATCGGTTATCGACGATATCAGAAAACTTAATATTGGATATCGGTATCGGCCAGAAATTTTAATATTGTGCATCGCGAATAATAATGACAACAACAACCATCATCACCATCATCATCATCATTAGCTAGAGTGGGTGCATTTATTTCTGTTAATTGCCAAATAATTGCCTTGATAACTGTTGCTACCATTTGTCAAAGCGTGCAGTAATACAAGATTTTCACAACTGTTCATTTAATTTTTTATTTTTTTTTTAGAAACATCTTGATTTCTCAAGCATATTGAAAAACTGAATAAGACCATTTATTTCAACTGGTGCAAGCTTAGTCTTTGGTAAAGAGTGAGATTATTTTAAAATGGAAGTTTGGCCTTAAAGCCAGAGTGCAGAACTTGAACACATACATCTGTGACATTCAAGCTCTTACCAAAAAGTTCTATTCTAATCCAGTTCTAGTTCTATCTGCAGCAGGTAAATCTCGCTGTATTTCACAGTATACTGGTGAGTTTAACTTGCACTCGTTTTACTGCACTAGTGCACCAGTAGTATAGATCTTTACATTTAACTAGCACAGACTGGTTTGCAGAAGTTGAAGAAAGGTGCAACAGAGAAAGATTGAACTACAGCCAGTAGGTGTATTGTGAAAGCTGTGGCGGATAAAAGGAAGCAAGGGTCCAAGGAAAGTTTTTGATGCTCTAGATAAAAAGAAACTCGACTTTCAGAGGAAGAATCTTTAAAAGGAATCGATCGAAGGCAGGGCGTTCTTCATCAGCAGGCGATGACAGTGTTTGTGTAATTAATCTCACTGCAGGACAGGGGAAGGCAAAAGTCCTGTACTGTAGGAATAAATCTGGAGAGACAGCTAAATCCCATTAAATACGTGTCTGTGCCTCGTTTCCTTTTTATGATCATTTATATAGCAAAGGCAGCTGTTCCTTAACTGTAACTGTTCCTTACACAGAAAACACACCAGAACTATGTGACCTGACAGAACCAAGAGACCAGCTGGACTCTCTAATAACAGTTAGACACTAAAACAATATGCAAATCTCCTCCCTCAGTGTAGGACGGTTTACTGACGGTCTCACAAGTTCATAATAATTTGACAAATGAGCACAACTTCGATTTTCTAGATGTTCCACCATCGACATAACCGGAGAATGTCAGAGCACAAGTAATGCTCTGTTAATGACCCAGAAAATTAAAAAATACAAGAGAGTTGTTGTGAAACTGTGAGAGCAAGAATGTTCTTTTTGTATTTGTTTTTGTGTGTGAATTCATGAATATGCTATGAGTGGTGCCAGGCTTTGTCTCCTCCTAATTCCTCTGCCTGTTCACCGGGGCTCTGCTCAGCTGCTGATTTTAGCCTCGTTTCCCTGAGAAATCTGATTGCTCGTAGACATTTATCTGCAGTCTAGCTCTAGTCGCGTACTGAACAGATTTAACAACAAGTATTTTTAAAAGAAAACTATTGATTTGATTCAGTTTTGTATTTGTGGAGTGGAGTGTGAAATATTCATAGCCTGAGTAACTCAGCTGTCAAGCCTCTTCACAAACGTTTTGTTCCTCAAACTTGTTGTTTCTTTGCCAATTTATGTTTGTATTCAAAATCCATTATTAGTTCATTAATCATCCAAATAAATAATCATATTTAACCATCTTAAATTTGGTTTTCAACGAAGTAATCTGCAACTGCTACAGTCAAACTACCACTATTACTGATGGTACTGCGACAACAATAGTTGTTAAAGGGGCACTTAACCAATTGTACAAACGTAGTTCAGCTTAGTTTACTAGCACAAGGTCTCTGTGTGAAAACAGTTGTAGGTTTTCTGAAGCTCTGGAGCAGCTTTGTCAAGAAAAACAACCCCGATGATGTTGTCGTGGTTCTCTCAGCTGAGGTTTGGAGACCACACAGTTTACAGAAGGTTTAATGATGGATGCTATGATGTTACATTAGAGGAAAACTACAAGTCAAGGTTTTTGGATCTTGACCAATTCTAGGAAATCTCAGTTTTCAGTCATTGCAAATTTGATAGTGAACTGTCTCTCACAAGTCCCCCAAGTTGTACAATGTTAAATTGTGACTAAGTTGCTGAATTTGGCTGATACATATGTTATGGCAGGACAACAAAAAAAGTTTGGCTGCAAGATAAATGAATTCTTAATCTTTAGAAGATCTGGCTCAGGGTTGAGGATCTTTTTTTTTTTTTTTTTTTAAATGGATAGTGAATGAATAGTAGCGCATAACTTTTTTTTAACATTTAGCAGACATACCTGTGTTTGAGCGTGTCTGCAGCCTAGTACACATTAGGACATGTCTGGTTCTTTCAGTCAAAGGTATGTAAAGCTTTACAAAGCAAGAGCAGAGAGAGGGGAGCCTGTAAATGCCATCAAATTACTGTGTAAACCCAGACGTCTGTATTGACTCTCCTATTTATGCAAGCACAATGCACCAAAATGAATCGTGTGTTGGAGTGCATGTGTGCTCCAAAAGTGCCCATGTGTCTCATATATTCTGTGTTCTCAGGTTGTGTAGTCTGGTTTTGGTGCTACTCAAAGTTAAACCACACGTGTATGAATGTACAGACACGTGGTTTTGCACGTGCGCACACATGTAAATACTTTTAATTGGGGTTTGTTTGTTTCTTTTTGGTTTTTATTTATTCAGCTTGCCACACATGTCCTCTACTGCCCTCTACAACACTTTATGACTAAGCTGTTTAGCTAAAAGCCCCCTCCTGAATTAATTTGGCCCGACCTGGCCTGGACTGACTTGTCGTGACCTGATGTACGTGCAGGAGCTTTTTACTTACCACGGTCTGGAAGCACGAGTGTAGATGTGTGAGGAAGGGCGGCTTGTCCTGCTGGGCCAGAACTCTCTTCTCCACCATGGTACATTCAACGTCATCGTCCTGGATCACCACATCCTTCTTGAGGATCTTAATGGCGTACAGCTCTTCAGAGGTCCTCATCTCTGCTAGCATGACCTTCAGAAAAACAAAGGGAGAGCAGAACAGTAGGAAAAGATCATCTGTATGTGAAGCCCATTTTCTTGTACCCTTAGATATCATGCACAGTCCGTTATCATCGGGAGTTGTGCTTTATCTTTTGACCTGATCGCTGTTTCCTCACCTTGCCAAAGCTGCCTTTCCCCAGCACAGCCAGGAAGGAGAAGTCGCTGAGTTTGACCTGGTCCAGGCTGTTAGATGGCAGCTGGCTGGACTGGCTGTCGTCCGTCTCAGTGATCACCTTCTTCCCTGGGCCTAGTTTGGCTTTCTGCACTCAGGGCATAAAAGACAAAGTGTCTAAGAGATAAACATCGTAAAACACACACACACACACACACGACAGAAAGCTGCGCTGTGCAGTTCCAACAAGAAAACTAGTTTGTGAATTCCTAAAAGGTAGACTCATAAAATGCATAGAATGAGTTTATAAGATAATAAACCAATAGCAGACGTCGAGGAAGCTTCTTTGTGCTGGATTCCGCTTGTAGTGTTGACAAAACTTTCATGCATTTAACTTTCTTATTCATTTTTTTTTAACCATTATGGCAATTATCACACAGGTATATGTTTGATTTTAGTTTCTATAATGACATAAGACATCTTTAGGTGATCTTCCTCTACATGTGCTCACTCACTCACAGTGCTCATTTGTTCACTCACGGCCACAATACACTGACTGAGAAGCAGAATTCAAAATCAATGGGGTGAAATGAGAACTTTGGTGTCATTGTGGTACTGATGTGATACAAAAACGTCTCTACGCTGATACAGTTTAATAAAGTGTATCGTGCTGTTGAATAAACTGAAATGTCTTCCAATTAAATTATCCAAAGTATCCAATAAACAGCTTAAACTATTCACCTGAAGATATATCTTATAACATATTAATAAGTAAAGCTGATCCCAATAAATTAAAACCTCTGTGGTGGCTGTTGTGATTGGCTTAAAGCAGGAAAGCTGAAAAAGCAGCATTAAAATCATTTTTGCAATTTATGCTAAAGATTTAAGAAAAAACGAAATTCTGCAGAAACTGAAAATCTACATGAGACGTGTTTGAAAAGTCTTCCAGTAAAAACTCTATGAAAAGATTGTTTTATTGCATTTCACATGACTATTCATGTTTCAAAACATTCTACATTCAAACAGGTCATTTCTCAACTTTTCTAAACCATTATAATTCTATTATTTATTCCATAAGTTAATCTAGATCTCCAATGTTTGAACATTGACCATTAATATATGTAAGTATAGCAGATGCTTTAATTTGCCTATTGTATGTCAGCTAATATATTTAGACGCACCTGCAAGCTGTAGGATATGGACAGACACAGATGCCCAAAAGGATTAAAAAAAAACTTCATTTGAACTTTCCAGCACCCAAGTCACATGCCAAAAAAAAGACAGAACTATCCTGCAGGTCACAGGGCCATGTAAATCAGCTCTGCAGACTCGGAGGAGTGAGGAAGCAGAGCTCCCTTCAGAATTCCCTATCAGAGCTTCAGAGGATCTAACAGAAAGAAGCTTTTGGGGGAAGACAAAGAAAAACATTCAACCACGTGGACCTTAACAGATGGCCGGGTGCAACAAAGTGTCCTGGGCTTAACGTATTGCTCTGCTGATCCCTCATTTCCTGTGGTATGCAACAACTGAACTTATGAATGAACAGTGAAGACACAGCACCAGAAGATGTGCCTTATTATCTTGTGTTAAGTTTAATTGTTAAATGTTGTGATATATCAGGTCCTGATAAATACTCCAAAGCTTAATTACAGTTGGATAAGTCCTTCTTTAAATTATCAGCTTGTTATATAACCATATCCTAAGCATTGTGTTATTTCTGTAACCGTCAGATTATAATTGGCCTTCCGACCAATATTCCAAATTTAACAGATTATCTGCTGCTTCGGGTGAAAAGACTTTTAAGTCTCCAAGCCACCACTCTGTTCCACGTTAGGTTTTCACACTCATACTCTCAACCAGCATTTTCATCATTGTTTGTATTTTATATTTTATGTTTGTTGTGTTATTTGTTTGTTTGTTTAGTTAGTAATAAATGCTGTGTGTGTGTGTATACAGTTGTTTCCTGTGTTTTCTATAGCTTACATCCAGTCACTTTACGTATCTGATCTTTATAGTTACCTGAGTTCTAAGTTAATTCCCTTAACTTTATAAAACACTCTGGACTGATCACCAAGAGTAAACAATTTATTAGAATTATTATGCTGACTCTGAGATTATATCGCTGGACCAATAATTCAAAGGTTGGTTTTAATAATTTTAATTAATGCAATCACTTGCTTTGGTGTGGAAATAAGTATATCTTATTTTCCAACACTAAAACCCTACAAAGCCATGTACAACATTATTATAAGTGTTACATAACTGAAATCACTTCCTCAGGCTTACTGGGTGGTCAAGGTAGAATCTAAAAACAGCAATGCCTTTTGCTGTATTCATATCAGGCCTTACAGCTGCACTGATGATTGTTCACGTGGAGAGAACTGCCTGACTGCTGGAGTAATAAAGGAAAGGATGCCACACTGTGGCTTCCCCATGTGCATGCATGTCCAGTACAGATAAGTGTTTCTGCAAAAACACATAAACATTCTCTTCTATGCACTTCTTTCATGCCAAGTCATGCTCAATCCCCCAGCGAGGCAAAATGCTTCCAGAAGGTTGCGAGAAAACTACAGTGCACTATGCAGAAAATTACACGCTTTTGTGGCAACCTAAATGCTCAACAACAATCCAACACAGTATAACTTTACATGTGTCTCTGTCTCTCAGCACAAAACACACCCCACATTGTCATGTTGAAGTTTCACTCCCAGCCAAGGCATTATATAGACATAAAATCATGCTGCACCTCAACACAGGTAAACATGTCCACATGCTACACAATAAAGGTGGATCAACTTATGCATAGACTATGAGAAACTGGTTTCAAATTGTCCAAATTTCTTTCCGTTCCTGGCAAGATCTTAATGTAAATCAGAGAAGTCATACTCTTTTAAAGCACTCTCAGAACACTGCTGCTCAACTAAAAGTTACATGCTCAGTTAGGTGGCTTTTATCCAAAATATCCTATGAAATAAATCTCTCATGTGGGGTGTGAAGGGGGGGCATTCAGACGTTCTCCATATCTACTGACAAAATAAAATGACGCCCAAGAAACAGGAAAACGCCAAACTAACATGATAAAATCCCAGATTTATCATGTTTTACATTCAGGAACAACTTCAACATTCATTTTAACATCCATTTTTAAAAAAAATTAAAATATCAGACATTTAACTTGCCACGACCAATGCCGAGAAGCTTTAGTTTGGTTAATGGCATCTACCAGAGTCTGCTCTGAAACTGGGAGAGCAGCAGAGAAACACAAAGCAGAGCAGACCGCAACCAGATCACAGCACACCTGTAAGCTTTAGCCAAAGAAACGAGCCTGGCCGGGCCAAGCGAGCAGCAGCCTTACTTCCTTCCTCTCAGACGCACCTGATCAGAGTCTTCCACAACTGCTTGGTCCTGAAACCACAGGGAGAAGGGAGCCAAAAGGGCTGACTCACTTGGTACACTGGCAAGTGGGTGCAAGCCACAACAGCTGACTCTTATGTGTACTGCAGATAGTTGAAGGGCAATACAAGTGTGCATACACACAGACAAACAAATAATATGAACAAAGATACAGTAATCACAGTTTAAGTCTAAAGCTTGTGCTTCAGTCTTTGGACCAATGCACTAAAAAAAATACAAATTTTATATTGATATGACTGGTGCAGTTCCAAAACTGATTCGCTGCATAGGGAATTTGTAGCTATTGCTAATTTTCAGCTCTTGTCAGTAGTAGGACTTTGGGTGCTGCATTAAATCAGCTGCAGATGCTGTCGTGTTAAGTTCAAAATGGCAGAAACACAGAAACAGAATAAACACACAGCGATAACTGAACTAAGGTGAAATTACCTGATGTTTTCCTGCTCAAGTAAAAAGCCCAAATGTGATTTTACGAATGCAACTATTTGTATTTCACCATGAAATTACAAAAAGTGTAAGCAAAAGAAACTCTGCATATGCTGCTGAGAATCAGCAGGTAAATTAAATCCTACATTATGAAGAGGAAGCGCACACGCACACAGGGTTGGTCGTTTTTCTAGAAATGCATTTCAGTGTAATGCTGACATCTAGTGGCCACAATTGTTTTGTTTTTTTTTGCCTCAAATGTGGAATCTGTCTATCCTCATGTGTTAGAGTGAAGCTTAAGGTTACAACAAGATGTTTTTTTGCAGGTAGAAGAAGTGGAAATTGACAGATAAATCTCCAGCACGTTCTAAGATGAGAGACACGAAAAGCCACAAACTTCCAGATTACACCAATACTGACAATAAGGTAAGCACACGACATTAAGACAGGCACCGGGACCCACAGACGATACGGATACTGACGGCAAAGACACACATGCGGACAAACGTAGAGCTATGAACTGTGAGCAGAACAGTGTCAGGATTTACTAACAATACTCTCACAAAGTTTGGGGAGTCAGAAGCAGCAAAAACAAAGACGAGTCTAACTGTCGTAAAGAAAAGGCGCAGTGACTGAATATCCATTTGGGTTGTTTTTCTTGTTTAGGTTTAATTTTTCAACCCATATGCAGAACTTACAAATTGTTAGTAAACTGGATCGATTTGTAGTAGCTTGTAAAGCACATACAAATGATCAGACATGAGGAGAAGTGAAGGAACACGTCACCACAAGACGAGACGAGAGAGGAGAGGAGAGGAAAGGAGAGGAGAGGAGAGGAGAGGAGAGGAGAGGAGAGGAGGGCTACCTTTAGATTAAAGTTAATTTGGCAGTCCTGAGAGCAGGGGCAAGACGTGGAGAAAGGAAGAGAGAAACTCTTGCATTAAATATGACAACGTGACACAGGATGAAGAAGCATTTGTACAGTATAAGTCTCACCAAGCACACAGGAGGGAGCAGGAGGCTAAGGGAAAAAAGGGAGAGAACCACAGAGGGGTTTATGAAGAGAAAAAAAAAGAAGAGAGAGAGAGGAGAGAGAAGTTCTCCAGGCCATGTAGAGTTTAAAAAAAAAACAACATACTGTCAATCAGAGGAAACTTGAGACCTGGAGATGCAAAATTAGTACTGTTCGTTTATTTGCGGTGTATCAAACAATACAGCCACACTGGCATCAATGTTTGAATCCTGTGCTTTTTTTCAGGATGCTAATGTTGATGCTAAGATATGCTAAAGTGTGAAAATGTTCAGAACGCCTGCTGTTGTTAACATCATGAGCATCTGCAAAGTACAAGCTTGTGTGTGCTGCTGGGGTGAAGGGTCAACTGTTGGAACTCTGACAAACAAGATACCAAAATGTCCACCAGGATACATCATGAATCCCAGTTTGATGAACTTGTGAGCTGAACTTGCAAACACATAAAATCTTCCAGGCCCTTCGTCAAAGCTCCCATTGTGCACCTCTTTTCCTCAACATTACATGAGCATACCTCCCAAAATGATCTGTTTGTGTGTCATCACTGAAAAAAAAAGTCTTAAAACTGGCTGCAAAGCTGCAAAGTAACTCAGGTGATGATTTTTAACACTTTAGCTAAAGTTAATTTATATATAAGGACAGCAGGAATCATGAAAATATTGCACATTTCTTACATCCACTGTGGTTCAAGTAAACTCACAGTAGCTTGTCAGTGGTGTCAGGCTGTATTTTAAAAAGGATCCAGATTAAGTGCAACAAGAGTTTTGAAACTGTTTGTTTTTATTTATCGTGACATATTCTATCATAACACACATTCTATAAAATAAGTTCTAGCTCGAACCGTGACCTTCCATACAGCCTGCCTTTCCATTCTTTCTCATTCTATCCACTGTTCTTTACTTTCTGTAGCAGAAATGTCACAGAAAATAACTTCAAATGGTCCTTTTCGAGAGACCCGAGCTCCCACCGAGGGGCTGAACAATGTGACAATCAGAGGACCACAGAGAGAGCTGCTTCACTCTGAGCAGGCCAGAGGCACTGATGCAGGGAGCTGGATGAAGGAGAGGAGCGGGCAATAGCATCTGATCCGTGATCGCTGCTGAAAGGGGCTTTGTAAAAAGCGTAAGTGCAAGTGTCTGGGTGTCATCTGAGGAGTTCAGGAGTTCCAATACTGTTCATCAAAGTCACTTGTTGCATCGCTGACAGATGCTATAATGGTCAGTATTATTTAAATTCATGACTGAGAAGCTTCATTTTAATGAATCCTGTTGTTTTTAGGAAGAAAAAAAAATCTAATAATGGAATTTTTTTAAATCATTAAATTTAATTTTTCCAATCTCACCATATAAAAATATGATCTAGGTTAATGGTGCATCAGGTCTCAAAACCAAAAGCCGAGTGTTTCTCAAATATAATGTCTTAAAAGATAGTTGCAAAAGGAAGGTATGAAATGTTGCTCAACTTCAGTCTGGAATCCCACAGCTGTAAGTATAAAATCCTACCAGTAGTACACACAAGCACACAACAAACACGAAGAAAGTGTAGAAGTGAACTGTCAGAGTGCAAAGAGACCATGAGCCGAGGAGGCCTTTGAAAGCTGCAGCTGTCACACAGTTATCTTTAATTTAACAGCTGTGCAACTTGGCAGAGCATGTGACAATTCGATAATTCCGCTGGACATACTTGTTTTTGAGGTCAGAGTGGCTGCATCAGCCACGTAGGTGCTCATACACACCTGTTAACAGTGGATTGAGGGAAGAAAGAAAAAGCTGTCTGGATTTAACAAAGATGGACAAACTGAGGAAAGACACAAAATCTAAACAGTTACTGAAGTACCATCACCAACGATAAAGCTAAAGCATGTTACTCAAGAGAAAAGAGGCACACAGGAAAAAAAAAGGAGAAAGTATTTCCGATGAGCTAAAAGTCGGGGCTCAGAGCCAAAAAACTGTCAGTGATATTGTTCCTGTGCATCCTCGACAAGTCAGCAATTCAAGTCAACACACAGACAGACGAAGTGACGAAGAGAAGGAACGATGGTGGTTATTTCAGTGAGATCCTCACCTCAAATTTCTGCCTCAGTTCCTCATTACCATCATCCTCCTCTGAGATGGGAACATTGTAGTACTCGCCCTCCTCCTGGCACAATAACTTATACCTGAAAAGAGACAAAGATGAGGAGGAAGACGAAGGGAAAGACACACACAAAGAAATGTTGTGAGATCAGACATGGTCAGATTCTTTGATGCTGCTGTTCTACACTTCCACTGATCATAACCTACTTGGTCTGAATATATCTGAGGATAATGCTACAAACTCTGCTTCTGGTGTTTTTTGCACCACCTTAACTGTTTGCACAATTCATAACAAAGTAGACATAAATGTCATTATATTTAAAATAAGTGAAAATGGACAGCTTTTGCCCCTCTGACAGAAACCAACTGTTGCTTAAGACCCAGGCTGAGCGTTCTGTGTTTGTTAGGAGCAGCGCTGTAAGCTGTGACGTTGAGTGTTTACTGGATTCAAAGAGGCACCAGAGACCTGCTTTATAAACTGTCAGAGCTGAACAGTTGACATTTTTGTGTCCACTGCTGTCTGCTAGCTGCATGTGCTGCAACTATTTATGACTAATAAGGCCATTAGTGCTCGGACACATACCACCGGAGCTATTAAGAGTGTGATTATATTGGTCTTAAGTTCTAATTAGTCCACGTTACCTAACAGAATTAGGTAATGAATGTGAAACGCAATGAGGAATACAAAGGGTACTTGAAATTCAGTCCTCACCAAGGTCAGACTAAAGTGCTTAGTGGAATAAAACAGCAGTTATGAAACAATTCCGTACAATTTTTTTTTTGTTTTGTTTTTAAATCCAACTTTTATGAGGATTTGGAAGACGTTCAAAACCATAGCAGGGAAGTCACATTTTGTGTAGATAAATTGTACGCAAGTACATTTCAACTAAAAAAAACAAACATTCATCTCTGTTGACACTCCACTCTGTAATTTCAAACAACACATAAATGTCTTTAATGGATTGTTAGGAAAGTCGGCATTACCAGCCACAGACTGGAGCCTTCATGAGCTCGGACACGCCGAAGGAGAGGGCTCCCATGAAGTCGTTCCTGGTGGTCCGATCCCAGTCCCACACTTCCACTGACAGCCTGCGGTCTTTATCTGTAGGCTTCAGCTTGCTGTACAGCACATTAATGTCATTATACAGAAAATAATAACAATCTATTTCATGACGGCATGTTAAAAGATGTCCAGTATTTGGGACAGAAACGACGTGACAGCAGATAATGTACTCACAAATTAAATGTCTCGTTCCATTTGGGGTTGAGGTTGGCGCGGATAGTTTTGGTCTTCTGCTTGGTCTCATTTTTGGGATCTGGTATGAGCTTGAGCTTGACGTACGGATCGGACGCACCGTTGGGGTCCATGGGTATGAGGTTTTTGCCTTCACCCACTAAGAAAGATGAAGAATTAGAAGAAAAGACGGAGCGTAAGAGAGCGGTTCTACGTAAACAATGATTTGCACAACAGTTTCTTTTTTTCGTCTTTCACATCCAGCTCGGATACAGCAGAGCAAATTGCTCCAGTAAGGGAAAAAACAAACGCTTTCTTTTAATCAGCAGGTGAACATCAACATCAATAAAGGCCAGGTGTTGTAGATCAGATGGCGGGACACAGCCTCTGTGGATTATTTATGGTTTTGGGCCATAAAGGGAGCAAATGCAGGAAGTGTTATGAGAACGGTGATTCAACATTGCAAGCTGTGTCATGCTTAAGTAGGCGAAGGCTCTCTTCTTGTCCTCCTGTATTTAGCTGTTCAGTAAACAAGGGCACACCAGGGACATTAGCACTCCATTAGCCCTGAGCATTGGAGCACTGCCAGACCTGAGCTACAGTACAACACACACACACACACACTCACGTACACATCCCTGCACACAGTCAGATGTATGCACAGATACACACACTATGTTTATCGACACACACAATGCGCCGTGTGCTCCCGCAGGGACGGGGTAAATGCTTCCCTGCTTGGTTAAACCTGGAACCCTGGAGACTGCGGGAGGCTCGCCATGTGGCCCCGTCAGTCACACTAACAATGGTGGCTTGAAGCAGCTATGATGCTAACTGACCCTCGACCCGCAGAGGAAGGCGCTAAGCCAGTATGCTAAAAATGCAGGCGTAAGTGCTAAACCCGCAGTCGTTACTCTGAACGAGATACAGGATTAAGAGGGATAAATGAACAAAATCAATGAGGGATTGTCACTGCTGGCTTCGTAACAGCGACTGGTGCAAAAGGGAACGTGGCACGTTCACAAGAGCAACAAATACTGTAGGATGTGAGTCGTATTATCACACATTATTTAATCATTGCTGGTAAAAAACTTCTGTGAGTCTATGCGGTTGCACCAACAGATTCCGATGGATCTTTGATAAGCCGAGAGTAAATAGCTTCTCATTATTTGCTTTTATTCTTAGCACCTGTGCCGGAGGATTTGGGTGCTGAGCAATGGTAGCGAGGTGTGAAGTCGGATGAGTGATGGGAGGGAGCTGCTGTACAGTGCACACATATATATACGAAGAGAGAGAAAGAAAGAAAGAAAGAAAGAAAGACGCATAGTCAGACAGTTACAGAAGCAACTTGAAGTGTGGGAAGATATTGAGCGATTCCTAAACTGGCAACTCTGTGATTTGTCAGAAATCCAGTGGAAAAGTGTTGAGCCAGTCTCTTCAAAAGGACGACCGTATACTGTATTTGCACTCGAGTCCATCCTAATCTGGATGCATTCTACTGTAGAAAAGCGAAGACTGAAACATAGGAAGGCTTCTTTTGCTGATTTCTTTGAAAAAAATCAACCTTGATGCCTCGCTGTCGTCTCTTTACGGTCGAAATGGAATAGAAATGTGGGTTAAATAAGAACTGTCTCCTCTTGATGAAATAGCCCGTGTGCTGTGCAGCTGGCTTTTCATATAGCGGGTTGTGTATCAGAAGAAGTATTTTTAGTGTCAGCTGTGAATACACTGAAGGGATGTACATGGGATGATCTAACAGTGGCGAGACAGAATGAACAGAAGAAAGTGGTGCAGACATCTAGATGGTGGATTTATGAGTGTTAATTAAATCCTCAAGTCTTGTAAGAATCCATAACTGCAGTCCAATTTAACTTCACCTTGACTGCTTTCTGCCTGCATGACATTTATAAATATATATATATATACAGACAATCTACACAATGTTTGATTAATATTTTATATTTGAGTAAGTTTCCAGGTAACATGTAGTGTGTGTGAACTGATGAGCTTCTGTAATAAATGCTCCTCTTTTTCAGACTTTAATTCTTGCACTGTAAAGGTCATTTTTTGAATATTTCATATGTTAGTGGTAAGAATGCAAAGTCCCAGCACCCAAATTAGACTGACAGACAGGATAAAAGGTACATTGTTCAGTGGCTTGTGCTTCTATATGAGACTTTGGAACGAAGTAAGTAGTCAAACTTAATGTGGACAATGTAATATTATATGTCAAAATAACAATTATTGTTTTGGTCGGTCCTCCTGAACAGAAATAGTGGATGCATGTGTCCTAGAGAAGTGATGCTAAACAATCAAAATAAAATTACACAGCATGGGAATAAATTGCAACAACGCAAAGAAGAAAAAAAAACTGAAACCGGTAATAAGATGATGATAGAGAATAAAAATGAAAAAATAAAAACCCGAAATCAAGCCCTCAGAATGTGTGCAGTATATGTGTGAGAGAGTGTGCCAATTTTATGTTTGCTCTGACAATAGAAGTTTACTGACCATAGACAAAAGACTAATAATTGAAGTAGTGACTGTAACCAGTACTTCCAGTCATGACCAACAGAGGGTTCTCTAGACTGTGAAATTCAGCACAGAGCTTTTCCTCCCATATAACTTTATGACTTCATCCAAACAAGGTGTGTGTGTGTGTGTGAGTGTGTGTGGTCTTGATTTCTTCCTGCTGTGCTGCAGACACTAAAGCAGACAGCTGAAATTATCTACGCTAGTTTAAATTCTTGGTTAGAAGTCTAAAAATTGTTTTTAAAGAAAACACTTGGATTTGTTTGTACACAGTTGTTGATGGGCACCAGTCTGTAAATGCACTGGGGAGAATGTTACCTCAGAGCTTTACTAAGCTTTTCGAACTTAGCTAATTATCGCGTAAGATTTTATTCTACTGACTGCATCTTGAAATTAAAACTGATATTAGTGAGATTTGTACCTCGTTTCCTCTTTTGTGACCACGTATGATGAGTGCGCCTACAGTCTTCTTTGCTACACATTTAGATTTCATTGTCGATTTTCAGCTGCACACCATTTGCATTTAGAAGCCTCATTATGTTGCAGACTGAACCTACTTGGGCCAAGTAGCTGTACTAGCCAAGTGTCGTCTCAAAAAGCCTCCCAGGGCTGTAAATCGAGTCTGTGTCTGCTGCTGGATTGTAGCAAAAAGTTTGCATGTTTTATTTTTGAAAAAACAAATATACAGCAGAAAATATGTAATAGAAATTCACTTGTGCAAAAAAAATGGAGGATGAAAACAGGGGAAAAGAAAGACCAAGCAAGAGGGTAAAACTGAGATCATGAAAAGCAAAGGCCCATGTTAAAACAGTGTGAAGGCAGCGTGCACATGCTGAGAGCAGGGAGCTGAGGCAGGACAGTGGCAACACACTGGGAATACCAATGACATGACTTCTGGGAGTCTGGCAGCAGAAATCCCACAGCAACAAAGTTCAGCTGTCCTCTGAGCTCCGTAGAGACACTGAAAGGAGGGCGTCTGCATGTGCATTTATGTGTTAATACGCCAGAAACGAGCTGCAAAAGGAGGTTAGTGGTGACACAGCTTTCTCTGAAATGCTCTTTGCAGAAGGCGCTGATATTTAATAGCTTTTCATATTGTGTCATTTTCCACAACTTCAATCAGATTTGTTCATTTCTATTTGCCAGACAGAAAAATAAATCTCTCATAGCAACTAGTTCAAATATGCAGTAGAAAGCAAACAGTGTTAACAGAATCAGGATTTATTTTTACTTATTTACTTTCACTTTAGGATTTGTGTTGTAAGACATTACAGGTGAGTCCGTGTGTGAGCACGCCTCAGTATTACGCAGCAGGGCGCTACATTCCTTTAAGACCTTATTTATTGTGTGGAAACATGTACACAGACACACTAGGCCCTGTCCTAAGCTGACACCACACAGCCCTTCTTCAAATGTGACGCCCGTCCTGTTTATTCTTCACCTCCCTGAGTAAACACGGCCCACAAACCTGAAACCGCAAGTTTCACTCCCCACCCCCCTCTGTATAACTCTGTGCTCCTTAGAAAGCCCAGTGTTTACAATGCGGCCGGAAAATATGTTGTATGTTGACTTGCCGCGCTGTTTCCTTTGTAATGTCATATTACATTGCATCAACAAAAAGGAGGTGGAGCGAGCAGCTTACGGTACCTTCAATATGACACAAGCAGGCCACACAAGTTTGGATATGTTACTCACAAGAAATAATAAAGATAATAAACTTGATCTCTATAGCAACTTCAAGATTGAAGTTACAAGACGCTGGACAAACAACGACTAAATATCCATGTGTCATCCATCCATCTATTAGCTATACCCATTCTATCCTGCAGAGGGTCTCGGGAGGCTGAAGCTAACCCCAGCTGGGTGAGAGGCAGGATACACCCTGGTCAGGTCACCAGTTCATCGCAGGGCCAATACGAAGAGATAAACAACCAAGCTCGCTTACATCTACAGCCAGTTTAAAACGACTAGTTGACATGCATATCTTTAGACTGTAGGAGGAGGCACCCGGAGATAAACCCACGCATTGAGAACATGCAAATTCCACACAGAAACGCCTACCAGCAATGTGAAACTAGAAATTTCTTGCTGTGAGGCGACGTTGCAAACCGCTGCCCCACCGTGACGCATCAAGGGTGTAATTTCAGCAAACTGGATGCACTTTCTTAAACACTTGAATCACGTAGAGCTCTGGCAGACCTCTGAAGTGGTAAATGTCAAATGGATTCTATACGTTTACATCCTAATATATTTAGCGTGCTGTTAAAATGGTGCACATCTTTATTCGAGGAACACTTCCACAGCCAAAGAGCTCACTGCAGGGCCTTCAGACAGGAGACACCGCTGTCCCAGTAGCCAACTCCCTGCAGTGGAAAAAAACGCTGGCAGCAGCATCACCACAAGTGCTGTCAGCTGCTCCAACTTAACTCTGATTCATCAGGAAAATGTAATAGCAGGATTTTTAAGTAAATTTTCTCTTGGCAAGAACCTGTTGGCTTTGCTGCAAAATGACTCAGGCACTACAAAGGAATGGAAATTACTGTAAGAAAAGACTGCAGAGTGGATGCAGCGGCTCAGATCACTGGGCTGTGATTATCATTTGGCAACCCGAAGTGCTGCATCCAAACC